GCTGGACAAACGGTGCTGCTATCGGTATATGTGTTACGTCTACTTCCTTAGTTTAACTTTAAACCATTCTGGTTGGTTGGGAACCCTCATCCCGTGTGATGTATCCGGTTTGAGACCCCTCTGATTGGCCACTGTAAATGCCACTCGTCATCTCTCTCAACAGTGCTCTTATCATTGTGGTGAGACTCCTGCAGGCATGGCGGACACAGCGAAGCGATCGAAGGTCTGGGTGCACTTTAAAAAAAATGTAGTGCCGATAGTGCAAGGTGCAATCTATGTACTCAATTAGTTGCTTGTAAAGGGGGTAACACAAGCAACTTAATGAAGCATTTGGAAACGAGACACTCATTGAATCTAAAAAGGTGCTAGCGATACTGCTAGTGCTAATAGTGCTAATAGTGCTAGCGGGCTTTAGCGGCGCCGTGTGTAAATGTGACCTGAGCGAAGGCTCGCAGGCAGGTTAGCTGCTGCGCACGGGTAATATGTTTTGTTCACCTGAGTGCAGTCTTGCAGGCACATCGCCTTGTCTTTTTTTTTGTTTATTAACACTGACAGTGTATTAATGTGAGCTCCTACACCTCTAATAATTTGGCCTTTCATTGAATGCTTTATAAACCAGTTAAACTTACAGATGTCATTGTGAATTTGAAAACTGCATTTAAGTGTTGTTAAAGGTCAACGTTTCAATGTATGGTTCAGCAATTGTTGGTCGTTTACTAGGAATTGACATATTTTAAGCTCAAATACGTTGTTCTATGTTTAAACCTTCAGACACATTTTGACGTGTTTCAGTTCAGCACATAATTTATTTTGTGATGATTTAAAAGTACAATCCAGAATAATATACGTACTCGCCTTTATCTTTTTGCCATCTTAGCCTTTTGACCAATTTCTTCTTATCACAGTTTTGCATGATGTCACTGTAGGACAATGTTTTAAGGATCTCTTGTCGAGCTTGGTTGTCAGTTTGAAATGTCTGGATGAAGATGTAAATGATTTACAAATGTTAAAAAATGTTTTAAAAAATGCCCCTTTTCATCCTCTGTCTGAGGGAAAACCCCAAAAAGCATGATAGGGTGAGCCAGGCCCCTTTTAAGTTATTTTATTTATTTGTGTTTGCTTCTGAGAAGCTAATGTATAAGTTATACAGTTATTTCTGTAAGAAAATTACAATACAATTGCTGTTTAATCTTCACATGTTGTATTCATGTCTATAATTTTGAGCACCAAATTATTGAAAAGTATCGATAAGAGTATCGAAAAATACCGATACCGATAAGCAGTACCGGTATCGATAAAATCCTAACGATACCCATCCCTACACATGAGTTGACTGACTGCCAGGGAGAGGGTGATGCTGGTTGGTATCTGATTGTGCCATAGTTATTGGGATTCGTGCACACACATACAGCAGAGATCAGCATGCCCATCCCTGCATGCAGCTGCTGTGCTGTGCAGCTGCCAGTGTGGAACATTTGAGGTGTGTTTCTTTGTGTACAATGAGGAGTGCCATGCAGTTTGAGCAAACAACTACTTTTCATCTCTGCGTGCACCTTGACCTTTTTCATTGCTCTGTGTCTGTGTGTGGGAGACATCTTTGTGTCACACACACGCAAATGAATGTTGTTTCTGACTGTTGTTTTCATGTATATATTCAAGAGCGCATGTTGTAGGAGAATTGCTTCCAATGCTAAGGGCCATAAGGGTAGAACTTGGTCTACGAGCCCTCCATGTTTGAGGTCATAATTATAACATAATTAATGCCTCAGACGCCTTCAAATAAATTAGCATTAGTATTCCCCAACCTTGCAGTTTTTTTTAATGATACACTTTTTTTGCCGACACTCACTTCATCAAAGAATTACACTATACATTAACAGTATTTTTGAGTGTAAGATAAATGTTGAAAAGCTAAGAGGAGATTTAGATTTTAGCACTACCCATTTTCAGCCAGAAGTCGGGCCTTAATGTTTACGCTTCCTAAATCAAATGAGTTGGTACTATAGCATCCAGATGTAAGTATGTTTGTGTGTCTGTGAGTGTAGACACAGTATGCTGCACTATGCTGAAGTGTTGGCCTCTATCTGACCGCAGAGGGAGTGGTTCAGAGTAAAGAGAGGATGCTACAGGAGGAGGATAAAGAGAAAAATGAACAGGAGAAGTAGAAAGATAGGTGTGTGTTTGTGAGTGTATGAGTAATTCAGGGAAGAAGGAAGGAATGGATAGTAGTACAAGTCATGTCCTTCATTTGGGCTCTCTGGCTCACTGTTCACTTCTTTCCGCAGTCGTAATCTCCATGGCCAAGTCTCATTTGGCTGACGTCATGTATAAAACATTTATATTCAACAGTGCTGCCACTCTGCTGTCGGGACATGAATGTGATTAAGAGATGCTGTGGTCAGCAAACAGTAATCAACATGTTCAAACTGACTAACCGGTTTGACTCCAAAAGTGTTGCTTGTATTAATCTTATTTACCTGCATATTATATTGAGTTCCTTTGTAGCACTAAAACCTCAAAATCGACAGACTTATTTACTTTTTATATGATGGATGACATAAAGAATATAGGATGCAGCCCTTCGCCACAACTTCTACTCACAACCACCATGTATAACCTTATGATCTCTATATTTACTGAACGTGTTTGAATAAACCCAACCCAGCTAGTAGATGTCTGGTAATGGCTTGTATAGGGGTTGCTAAGTTAGTAAAGTTTGGTTTTATTCAACATTACCCTTTTAAAGGCACAAAGTACGTTTAGTTAGGGCTGCTCGATTATGACAAAAATCATAATCTCGATTATTTGGGTCAATAATTGTAATTGCGATTATTAAATGGGATTATTCATTGACTTTGAAAACATCCATTTATTGGAGAAATAACATTTGAACAGTATGTTTTTTAACAGTTGATTTACCCCTTAACTTTAAGTATAATTCAACTGAAAAACCAAAAAAAAAGAAAAGGTTTTNAATTATATAAAAAAAAAAAGTAATAATAATAAAAAAATAATCGTTTTATTTCGATTACGTTTTTTTCGTAATCGTTGCAAGCCATAATCGTAATCGCGATTAAAATACGATTAATTGAGCATCCCTACGTGTAGTAGACTCATGTTCAGACTTATCACCTTTTATATGATATTCTCTGCTTCCCAGTATGATTTGCTTCCTTCATAATCCAAAGCACAGAGTTCACTCGGCTCTTACTTACCAGCTTTCAGCCTAACATTGTCTCCACTGCTGTTTTATTATAACTGCTGAAACTGGTGTACAGTGGTTTCAAAATGGGTCCCACGGGCAACTAGAGAACCATCACAGTGGAGCCCTGAATAAGAACTCATGATCAAAGCAGCTCTGCTTTACTCTATTGCAAACAATAAGACATTCTTCTAATGCTGAGAAAAGACGTTTTCATATACTGGTTGTTATTGTTGATTGGGATGGAAATGCTAAGTAAATGATGTCCTTGGTTTGGAATAGGGTTTCTTTCCTTGTGTTTGTGCCTTTGTCCAACTTCTACCTTGCACTCATAATATTTCTGTATTCCGCATGTCAGCAAAATGCTCCGTAGCTATAACTGCTGCCCATCATAGTAGTCCCAAAATAGTGCCGAGGTTATTGTTCTAGAAGCCCCGCTGACCCAGTTTGCGGGGTGTGCGAATGTGTGTGTGTGATATTGCAAGGTTTGTTTATTTCTCAGGGTAGTTAACCTACCTGTCACTTGGTTTTGGTGTGGTGAGTGGTGGGAGTTACGGGAGGTCGGAGCAGTAACATAGAGGGAGTAACAATGAGCCAGAGGGGAGGGGAGGGGCCTGTGCTATGCTGTGTTTGCTCATGTCTCTCTTTCCATACACCAGTAAAAGAGGAAGCTGTACATCTTCTGTAGCCCTGCTCCTCTCTGGTTGGCTGGCTGGTTGTCTTGACTTGACTGACTTGACTGGAGTGATATAAATAGCAGCCTTTGAATAGGATAACTGCAGAGGCAAGGGAAGGGAAGGGTGGGGGGGTGAGGGTGGAAGTGGCGCCAGGAGAGATATGAGTGCCAATGTTTGAAAGTAGAGAAAAAATCATGCAGCCATGGTCTCATCTGTTCACTCAGTCACTCAGTCAGTCACTCACAAGTTTGATCATACTCGGACACACTCAGAAGAAAAGTGCATTATGGAGGAGAGAATTGAGGGATGGGACGTATGATTAATTGATGGCCCTCTGAAGCAGAAGACCTCTCTTTAAGCAGGAAGGCACAGGATTGTTGTTGTGTACTTGCATAGAAGAAAAGGAGGCATCAAACTAGGTTTGTTCTGTATTATGAACTTATTGAACAAGCACTCGTAACAGGTAGATTTCTAGCGGTTATAATAAGGGAAGAATGCTCCATAACCTCAATCTTCTTGACTGACTATAGTATGGATGCCATGAATTAGTGCAGGGTAGAGCCCAACATTATAAGGGCTGGCTACCTATGGTGGTAAGTAGTGGGTTTTTGTTGAGACGTGCCAGTCACGTTCCTGAAGACATTCCATTGCTGTTCCCAGCTCTCTCAGTATCCCCACAACTCTGGTGTTATGCAATATCTTACTTGGTCTGTCAAACATAATTAAATAATACAACCAGTCTTAGTTGCAGTATGATTCATACAAATTGTGTTGTTTTGAGGGACTGTACTTTCTCTAGCTTTAGCATTAGCGGATATTATCAAGCATGTTTCAAAGTGTTCAGGTAGACATTGCTTGCTCTTTGGGTTCAGCTTGGACAACAGATAAGCTTTCTGTGTGTTTCATCTGTAGCCCAGCCTGCTGTCCTCCATCTCAACTGCTCTTCCTCCAGATCAGGGGTGTAATGGTTGAAAATAGAGTGCTTGATGTGCCGCTAATGGCTGCATCGTCTGGCAGTGTGTAAATGTGTCTTCAAAGAAACGTAGTGGCCAGTTGCTAACCTCCCCCCCCCCCCCCCCC